GTACTTTTTTCTTTTTTTATGAAATTAGAGCTAGAAAATAGTTATTGCTGAATTTTAAAAGGACATTTTAATGCTAACATGGCATGACTCTTATTTCTTCTTCATCTTTGTAGATATGCAGACATCATTGTTCATCGGTTGTTGGCTGTGGCTATCGGGGCTGACTGCACTTACCCAGAGCTGACAGACAAACACAAGCTTGCTGATTTATGTAAAAATCTCAATTTCCGGCACAAAATGGCACAATACGCTCAGCGTGCATCAGTGGCTTTTCATACCCAGGTATTTGCCTTCTGTCACTGATAGTTCACTTCTAAGTTAATGGCAGAACTTTTTTTATTACCTTCAGAGTATTTTAAGACATCCTTCATAAGGTCATATGCTTTTTTTACAGCTATTTTTCAAAAGCAAAGGAATAGTAAGTGAAGAAGCTTATATTCTGTTTGTAAAAAAGAATGCTATTGTGGTGTTAATTCCAAAGTATGGTTTAGAAGGTACAGTGTTTTTTGAAGAAAAGGACAAACCAAAGCCACGGCTTATTTATGACGATGAGGTACAGTATTTCTAATGTGTTTATTTTGGATTTTTTTTGAAGGGGGGGACACTTTCTGTTTGATAGGTTTCAAGTGGTACCAATAGAGGGTAGAATTATTTTCTGTACCTGCAGTATTTTATGCCAACTAAGCTGATCATTTTACTCACAATTTCTCACCTCAGTGAATCTTCCCACATACAAATGTTGTCCCTGATTTCTTTCTTTTATACCATGTAACATTTCCCCCTCCAAGGAAAACTTGAATTATGCTTTGTCTCTGGTGGGCAGATGGATTAAAGGAATACATGGCTGCTTATAGCTCAGAGAAGGAATTTTTAAAACCAGTTCCCAGTGTTTAATCTGATAGACTCCCTACTTCCCTAACCTGAGTAGAATTACAGAACAATAAATTCTTCCCACAGTACTGTTGTGCTCCAGTACAAGACCAACAATTTGCTAATTAAAGGGTGAGAATCCTGAGATTAATGAACACACACTGGGAGCACCTTAATGGAAGAGGGAACATACGCAAATAAGGTCATGATGTATGCAAGGCTGTTAGATGAGTAGTTTTTGTTATGTCGAACACTTCGATGCTTATTAAATATTGAAGTTTTTAATTTGAACTTTTAAGTTAATATGGCAGATAAATTATAAATAATTAGAACCAATCCTCAAGTGTAAGACAGCAGTTAAAAATAGCCTAATGTGTTTTGCTTAGGTACCATCACTTAAAATAGAAGATACGGTGTTTCATATATTTGATAAAGTAAAAGTGAAAATCATGTTAGACTCATCAAATCTTCAGCATCAGAAAATCCGAATGTCCCTTGTGGAGCCACAGGTAAGACGAAACTGATACCGTCCATGTTGTGATGGAATAAATAGTACATATTTTGTGAAAGAGAGTGATACAGTCATAACTTACTTCTGTTTAATGATAGAACCCTGTAAGTAGTGTTGAGGACAAATATTTGCATAGGAAATCCTTTTTCCTCACTGATTTCCCTAGGCCATGGGAACGCAGGCATCTGGGCTGCTTCCAAGGCTCTTGGTACCAAAAGCAGATCTTTGAGATCTGCCTAGTTATTTTTCACTTAAATCAGTTTTGAAATCTGCACTTTTGAAGGAAGTGTTTCCTCTAAGACACTGGTCCTTAACCTTGTTCTGCCCCAACACACCTGACGCTGACAGCCCCAGTGGGTCCGCTAGGATAAACTGAATGTGTTATAAACACACACTTCCCAAGTGACACGCTTCTACCTGTTGAGATCATATGTACCTTGACACTTCTGCACCACTCTTGCTATGTGAAATATGGACATTGTGTCAAAAATCTACTACTTGCTCCCTCCCCATCTTTTTGAACGTGAAAGTGTCTTTGGGGAAGGGGAAGATGAGACTGGGATGTATTCCTAATTTCATGCTTTTACTCGTCTTCTTTTTCCCATTTGCATTACTTTAGATACCAGGGATAAGCGTTCCTCCTGACACCTCAAACATGGACATGAGTGAACCAGAGAGAAAGAAGAAGAAGCTTCAAAAATAGCTCCAGTCAACAGAAAACCTTCAAAGATTGGTTTCCTTTTGTAAAAAAACAAAACAAACAAAAAAACTTGAGAGAGCACTTCTCAACTTAAGAAGTGTGTGATACAGTTTGTTACTTTTAAGTACGTTTTAATAATTTTAAAAATTTGCATTTTTATTGAACTGTTGACTGTATCTGTCCCGTCACACTACTTAATTTCTGGATCGAACAGAACTGTCTATGCAGAGAAATTCAATTGAATATCCATAACTTACATAGTGACAGGATAGCACCTTGAGGGGTCTATAAAGATCGCTTAAAGGCAGCACTCCTCTGCTCTTTGAAGGGCAGGTGAATTTTGCATAAGTAATTTAATTATTTACTATTGACAGAAAAAATTATCATTTTCTTATGGAGCAAAAAATAGAACATTTTTAGAAGCAAGGAACAAGCTATTCTTCCTGAATCTTGAAAGCTGTCAGTGTGTGGTATGACAGTTTTTAGATTTCAAGACAATGAAGTGAAGAGCTGTCAGGGAACTCAGTCGTTCATCTCCTTTGCCATCTTTAATTTACCTTATATTAAGCATCCCCTTACTGTTAAAAAGCCTCCTGCATTTTATTAGGGGTCCTTGAACAGCTCTGCTTGCTTGGGAATTGGATGTCTGGGGTAGGTGAAGTAGCATATTGTGATGGGACTGGAAAAATAGTTGTTTTTCGAAATACCGGATAAGTGTGGTCATCATCCTTGACCTTCAGCTCAAATATCTCCCCAAAAATAAGGCACTAGGGTTCAAAGAAAGACAAGAGATGGCACTATGAATGTTACATCGTGTTACTTATAAAAAATAGATAACCAGTGACTTATATTGCATATATATCAGATCATGTAGGAAAGGAGGGGTTGCTAAGGACACTAAAGGCAACAGATTGCAGTACCGCGTTTGATGCACCAGAGTGACTACTTCCCTTGTTAACCACGAAGTTTAGTGATGATTAAATTGGTGTTTTCAAGACACATTGAGACAGAAATACCTTAGTGTTTTCCTTTGCTTATTCAATTTCTAGAAGTACCTACATTGTGCATCACCAGTTGAGTAGACCATCTCTGCCTTGAGCGAGCTTGTGGTCCAGGGACAAGACTGGCAGGTCCCACCAGCGGGTGTAGAATGTGGGGGTGGCTACAGTGTGTATCATCACTTAGGCGCTCAATAGTTATTAAAATGATTGTTACTGAGGAAAACATCCATCCACTGAGGCAGAACTTGTCTCAGTTGGAGGAAGATGGCCTTGAGTGGACTGTCACCGAGAGCAGTCAGCAAGCCACTGCTGTCAAGGCCAGACACGTTTGACTCTGGTAGCCGGAGAGTTTCTGTTACAACCATCACGCTCCATCCACTCCTGCTTACAGTGCGGAAGCAGTCAGAGACGGTGAAAAGACGAGCATGGCTGTGTTCCAATAAAACCTTATTTATGGACAGGGACATTTAAATTTCATAATTTTCATGTGTTTAACAAAATACTACTCAATTTGATTTCTGTACTGCACCCCTCCCTGCAACCACTGAAAAATCCTTTGTCTATGGGCCATAGTTTACCTGAAGCACAGGAAAAGGAAGGCTTCTTCATAGAACAAGACTTCAGTGACCTCATGCCTGTCTTTCCAAGTTTGTTTTCTTGTGCCTCATTTATGAGGAAAGCCTAATTCAGCTCTATCCCCTATTGTCTCGTTCAAGATGACCAGAAACCGTATTTTCACCCTAAAGCCTCTTCTTTGGTAATGCTTCTAGTACCATTTCTTACACTAAGTAGCTTACATGAAACGTTTCATTTAAAAGCCCTGTTAAGGACTACTGTCCCCATTTAACAGACGGGTGATGGATGGAGGTTCCTGACCTGGTGCAGGTAGTAAGTGGCAGAGGAGAGATCTGAGTCCAAGTTATCATCACTACTTTATTCTTTGTTTCTTGACTTGTGCTATTAAAAGCACAGCCAGGGAATCCCCTACCCCAAGGATCAAAAAGTCCTCTTACAAATGGCAATTGTTTTTTAGGTTTATATTGATTCTAAAGCCATGATTAAGGACTCCATTTCCTAATGCACCGTCTTTAGCAATGGACCTCGTGGCTCATGGCTTTAATAGTTGGTGTACTGGGGGGGAGTATAAGCCAGAAACACAGCAAGAGGAGTTTTGCAGGTTGGCAATAAGTTTACAAGGTGCATGAAAGGAAGGAAGGAGGTGACATGATGATATTATGTCCTTATTTATTTCCTAGGGCTACATATGAATTAGTGTTCCCTTTTGAATGACAGTTTTAAAAGGTGATTTGTAAAATACTAGTATACATTCTCCAAAGTAAAAAAAACAGTTCCCATCAAAATCATATACCCATTCTAATCCCAATGTTAATGTAAGTATTTTAGTTTATTTTTAAGTAATAAAAAAGAATTAGTCACGTGTCTGCCCAACCATAGCTTCATAAGCCTAAAGCCCTACAGAAACTTGTTTCTTCTGGTTTTCCTGTGTTCTTAACTCCTCTGCTGGACCAAACTTGACCTGGAAAGGATGTTGCTACCCTGGGATGGAGACACATTCTGGGCATCCCTCATTTACCCGACTAATAATACATGAGAGAAAGATGCTGTTAGTACTAGCTTTCTAGTATTTATATTTTTCAGACCAATTATTAGAACTAAGGATTTCTACACAGAAATGAACAGTTTTGAGAATAAAAATTGCTGGAAACCTGCTTAACCTCCTTTCTACCTCTGTTTTTTTTTCTTCCAAAATCATTTCTTTCTTTCACAAAGGTTATAAATGAATTCATCTGTATATTCACGTTTTTATGTAAAATAAACATAGCACCTTCACAGTTGTACACTATCCAAGAACTTTTGCTAGTAAGCAGCTCATTGACCCTGTAGGACAGGAGCAAAGTCATCACTCTCAGGTTTTTTATTAAACACATCACTCAAGGTCAGTACAAAAATATTTTATTAAAAAATGAATTTGGTCTTCAGTAACTTGCTGAAAGTTCTAGGACCTTTTCTGTTGTTCCTGTGTCACTAAATTAAGCCCTTGATTTTTCACATTAAGGAGGGAATGAAAAAAAGCTCAGCATGTTAAGTTGAAGCAGTTTTTACAATCACAATCACATTATCGATCCCGTGCGTAATAAAATATGTGAGGAGCTGTCCAGGGACGGCGCTGGCTCGGAGAGAGGTATTCTACGGACTGCTGCACTGAGGAGGATTTGCTGTTTTCATCCAGTACCTCTGTGTTGGGTGGTCTTGCTGTGAAAGAAAGGAAATTCCTTGTTTTCAGTTTAAATAGGACCATTCAAGGATGCAACAATTACCTGAGCTGTTTTTAAAACATGAATGCAAATTTCCCTATGCGCTCTAAAGGGACAATGTAGGTACATTTCATTACAAATTAATGTTCTGTATCAAAAAGAGTACTTCCTGTATCTCAATGCTTGCTGACTTTTTACATGAACAACTACCGTCCCGCCTCCTGACAAAATGGAGCAAAGGGAAAAGAAAGTGGCCTCAATAGTAAATCTGAATATTCATTTGGACAGTTGTATTCAGCTGCACACTTATTTATAAATTGGCATAAAAAAATAAAAGATTCTCCTGATAAGTGCCATAAATTATGATGGGTTTCTTCAAATACAAATACAGTTGTCTCTCAGTATCCAAGGGGGATTGGGTCCAGGACCTCCCATGGATAACAAAATCCACGTGTGGATGCTTGTATGAAATGGCATAGTATTTGCATATGCACAACTTCCTGCACATTTTAAATCATCTCTAGACTCCTTAAGTAATAACACCTAATACAATATAAATACTACGTAAATAGTGGCAAATACAACATAAATGCTATGTAAATAGTTCCTGGCACATGGCAAACCCAAGTTTTGCTTTTTGGAACTTTCTGGATGATTTTTCCCCCCTGAATGTTTCTGATCTGAGGTTGGTTGAATCCATGGATGTAGCACCTATGGATATACGAAGGGCCAACTGTGTATGGTTAGAACCATCCTATCCAGAAAATTCAGTGATGTCCTCATCAACAGTACACTTTTGTATATAAGATATGTCCTCGACACAAGGGTTTGGAAAAAAAAAGAATAAAGGAAAAAATTTTTTATTTTTTAAAAAAGAAATATGCAAGACTATATGAGATAAATATTTAGTATAGAAGACACATATGTGCTACCTCTGAAGGCTTTGATTTTAATAAATAAGGCCTTTGGGTGTTCTTAACTGATGGGTAATCTCTCAATTATACTATTTCCCTCTCTAATAATCAAAATTCTTTTTTATGTTTAGCTTTCAGACAATATTAGAGGCAAAAACGTCCGCCCCCCTCCTCCTGGCGCCCTCCCCTGTTACCCTCGACTGTAAAGGAACGGATCTGCTCTCAAGCCCTGTTTCCAAAGTGGGGCTAGCTCTCCTTCCTCTTCATCTCTTACACTCCTCCCTCAGGGCAGGAGATTAGGAAAATAAAGTGTTTTGATTTAAAAACCACTTTCTCCTGCTGTTAAATGAACTGAAGACAGGCTGAGACATAAACAGATGATAACAAAATTTTAAGCAAAATGGAGGGAAAAACAATTGGCCGAAAACAGTCACATTTAGTAAATACTTATGCACTACCACCATACCAAGCTTTCTCTGTGTTTTCCATACCTTTGTATTAAAAACTTGCGATTTAGTCTCGACTTCCAAGGTCTGTGCGTCATTTTCTTTGTCATAACTTTCCGCTCCAACTGTATCCATGATATTGCTTCCACAATTCTGTGTATTATAGCCACTGTCCATCTGGCGGGGATGAGGGAAAACCACCAAGGATAACACTGCCAACTGTGATTCACTTACCCACAAAGTTTATTCCGATGAACTTTTATGTTTAAATAAACTTACTTAAAAATATTTAAACAAAATACATGCTTTTTATATATTTATGTAAGATATAGTTTAAATAATTGTATATAAAGACAATATTTTAAACATTTAAGTGAATCACTATATATTGTCATTCACACCTGAACAACACAATGTAATATTTAATACTTACCATATTTAATGAATTTTAAAACATATAAACATAAAATGTATTCTACATAGAACTGGTTGTTCTTCAAAGTAGTCACTACAATTCCTTCTGATAAAATATATCTTGTAATTTTCTTTAAAAATCAGTGAACAAGCCACTAAGAACATGCTTCCTTTCCCTGTGACTCTGTGATCACACACCCAGTAGATGAAATGAAGATTACAATCAACTTCATCTTCCAACTCATCTACCAAGCCTGTCTGTAAATACAATTTACCTAAAAGGCATGCTACCTTTAAGAATATTCATTTTTTTAAAGGTGGCTTACATTATACTCACACCCGCTGTTGAAATAAAAAATCTCCCCTTCATAATAGCACAATAAATAATGGTACTGCACACACTGCACTTCCCTGCACAGTGCTCAGCACCAAACAACCCACAAGGGAAGCACCTCCACTTACGCCCTTTCATGCAAATTACGATCAGTGAAGGGAAGACTACTTTTGCCCCCATCACAAACATTAGGATAGCCTACAAAGTGCATTCTATCATCTGTCTAAAAAAAAAAAGGTTCCAGTTCTCAGGGATGGATGCATATTTGTTCGCTACTGGGAGTCATGTCCCACTTGAACAAAACCCTTGTGATGTAGGGAGTAAATATAACTGTGTACAATGCTTGGCGACCAACCCGTCACAACAGAGCAAGTCAAAAGGCCCTGGGAAAATGTGGCTGCATTCGAATGTTCGAAGCTACCTCTGTGGTAGGAAAATAAAAACATATGAAAACATTTTTAAACTACAAAATGCTCTGCAAACAGTACAGATTATTATGCTATGGCCCAAAGGGTAAAACTGGAACTGACTGGTAGATGCCACAGACAGGACCATATTTTAATTCGTTAAGCAAGAGGCTTGTAAGAAAAGTCCTCTAAAATGGACTGGAATACCCCTGCAGGTACTCGGGCATAGAGTAGATGATAATTTAACAGTGATACGGGCTTCCAATGGGTAGCTGGATTGGATGCTTACTATGTAATTCAATGAAAGTATTTTATAACACTTGTATAAATGCTGTGAAAAAAAGAGGTAGTGAGAAAAAAGGAGAGACAAAAGGAAGTTGACAATACATTTAAGGCTCAGTTTGACTGTATGTGCTTCTTCATTTAGGAACCAAATTTAGAAGCTGAAATATGTACAAGTGACTCTAGTCTATTTTTTTAAGCAACGATCCTCAAAGTCAGGCTAGATAATACAGGCATAAAATATGAGCCAAAAGATTATATTCAATTTTGGAGCATTTAAAATCCCTCCATGAAATTTAAACATCAGCATGTCAAAATGGACAGCACTAAAGCATTACTGAGTTGTTGTGAGAATTAAATGAAATGATATATATAAAGTGGTTAGAAGAGTGTCTGGTACACTGGGACTCTGTGTATTAACTATTAACTATTACTACTGGTCAGTATAAACTTGGAAAAGAACATGGACTCTAAAGCCAGACCGCCGGGATTTGAGCCTTGGCTCCACCACTTACCAGCTGTATAGGCAATATATTGAACCTCTCTGACCCTCAGTTTCCTCATATGTAAAATGGGGATGAGTACATCTATTTCAGAGGATTGTTGTGAAGATTAAACAAATTAACACATATAAAGTATTTGGCATATTATAAGAGCTATGTGTTAGATATTGTTACTATGAAATGGCAGGCAAAACTGACTTTCTATTTGAAAGTTCTTTCAAAATCCTCAACTCAAAGGATATGGCAATTAATGGAACAAATGTCTTTCTGAAAGTAAGTGCTGGCTATGAAGTGTATCTGTCAAATGAATCATGCTTTCTTATTGCCAGATATTGCCAAATTGAAGGTGTATGATTACCTGAAAAATAGTGGGTTTATTTTAAAAAATCATATTTTTTTAAACAAAAAGTACAAATATATGTATATACATATACATATATATATGTGTTCTAAACTCTGTTTTTTCTCCCTAAATCATACAGAGGAAAAGCCAAAACTACTATATTTTTAGCATACAAATACTATACAGGAAACTGAATTCCTCTGGAACCAGCTCCACATGAAACAGAAGTGAACCCTGAGAGGTTGCCTGACTCTAACAGTTTGTAGAAACAGAATAAAAGCTTGATTTTTTTCTGTTCTCATGTCTTTCAACCCCAAATAAGTATCAGTTAATGTGACTATTATATATGCATCACTGGTCCAAATGAAAAGAAATGAACCCTCTTGATATCACCCAGTATTGATTGAAAAAAATATTATATAATCCTACAGGTCTCTCATGTAACCCATTTTCTTTCTTACTGTAATCCTAGAAAAGACAGGATAAAGAACACCAAGGGAGCAAGTGAAGGACTGCAGATTATTCAAATACCTTACCTGAATGTTACTGCTTTCACAGGGGATGACGCTGCTTTCTGCAAGAGGTGACATGCACATGTGGGAGTTCTCAATACTGAAGGCGATCCCACTCACAAACTCGGTCATGGCCGGGCTCCCATTATCACCCGGCTCCTTAATCCAAGCGGTCTCCTCTGCTATCTCTACGGGATCCACCATATCCACCGTGACATTCTCCTTCCCGCTGTCCCCCTCCTGCAGCAGCGCCAGCTCCCTCTCGGCAGCGCCGGGCTGGCTATGGGTGATGGACAGGGCGGTCACCACCAGGCGCGGGCCGCGCGGGGAGGCGGCGCCATCCAGCTGCGGCAGGTGGCCTCCCGCGCTCAGAGGGGGCGCGTCAGCGGAAGGAACGTCCGCCCCGTCGTCTTCATCTCCTTTTGGAGCCTCCAGAGTAAAAGGGATCCGGATCAGGGAGGTCCGGTACTGAGCGCCCCCTCCGCACACCTCGAGTCTCATCGGAGACCAGTTTTTAATTGGTGAGCAGCCATCGATGTAAGGACTTCGGATACACGGATTGGCAATTCCGTTAGCATGTGTTCCAGACGAAGCATCGGGAGAATGGGAAGTAAACTTCCTCTGTTCTAAAAGATGGGGAGGGGAAAAAAATCACATCATAAAAACATGTAAATGGGAAAGCCAGTACTAAACGGTCATGTTTCATCCAGAATAACTGGACTTCTATTAACAATTGTGTTGCTTACTGAAGTGAAATCCTGGTGTCAAAAATAATAGCACAAAGGGCGGCAGAGTTAGAGGCGCAAGGTACAGCTCAGTGGTAGAGCACATGCTTTGAACGCACGAGGTCCTAGGTTCAATCCCCAGGACAGGACCGCCATTAAAAAAAAGAAAAATAACAGCACAAACAAATGTGTATGTTCAAGTAGGGTGAAGATCTACAAATGTAATTCCTCTGGCACGTCCCTCTCCTTTTTTTTTTTGAGGGGGGAGGTAATTAGGTTTGTGTATGTATGTATGTTATTTATGTATTTATTTAAATGGAGGTACTGGGGATTGAACCCAGGACTTCGTGCATGCAAGCAGGCGGGCTACCATTGAGCTGTACCCTACCCTCCTAGCACTTTCTCTTTTTTAATTAAACAAAGCATTTTATTCCCTGAGAATTATTTCCTCACAAGCATATTACTACTACAGCACTGTTCACATACAAGGTGGAGAACAAATGAGCTGACAGCTGCAAATTAACAGCTGTACCTGGTAAATGAAATACATAATCATCTATTTGTGTTTACATAAAATACTATCAGCAACACTAAACGGCAAACAAAAAACTGTAAAATAATACTTGCAATAATAAAGAGCTTAATGATGATAATCAAAACGACCAAAATGCCTTAAACCTTAATAGTTTTTATAATTTCCTTAGTTTAATATAAACAAACATTTAAAAAAATGGGCAAAAGCAAGTAAACAATCCTCCCAATGGCAAATGAATATATGAAGTGTCCAGCCACATAAATAATAAAAAGCATGGAAGCGAAAGCAATGAGACCATTTGTTTAACAAAAACAATGAAGTCTGAACTAATAATAACTCTCCCAAACATGACCAATAAACATTCGAAGAATTCACCATCGTAAGAATCAAAGACACAAAAATTCAAGCAGTAAGAGACCTTTTTGTGATGTGCCAAATTAATAAACAGCAAACAGAGTGGGAAGACCAGGACTGCTAGATGGGGGAAAACTGACTTTCTCACACACTATTAATGAAAATTTCAACTGGTACAACCTCTTATGAAGAAAATTTGACAAAATTCCTCAAGATCCTTAAAAACATTCATCTCTTTTTTATCAAATAGTTCCACTTCTAAAAACTTAACCTAAGGAAAAAATATATGCAATACAATGTATATACAAGGAAAATTTAGAAATAATTTAAATGTTTATTAATGATTGAAAACAAAAGATACAATCATAAAATGCAATATTGTACAGTGACTCAAAAATCATGATTTCAGACCATAAAGGACTTGAATGACCTATGAAAATACTCATAATAAAATACTCTGTGAAAAAAGCACGATATAGAACTATGTGTGTGCATGTGTGTGTTCACATATGTGTGGAGATATATACATACATATAAACACATGCACATATATAAAGGGAAGACTATCAAAAATCGTTTTCAGTTTTCCAATTGTGTTTACTATGAGTAGGTTCTTTAAATGGGGAATAATTTTCAAAAAGTGCTTTAATTCTTTTCAAAGAAAAACTGACATTACAAAGAGAAATACATAAATTTCAGCATACAATATTTTCCTAAAAACCTTAATCAACAAATGTATCTTTAGAAAATATGAATATCCAATCACCAAAGTCTGAATCTATCGTGGGAAGGTCTAGTGGGAAGGTCTACCACAGCCAGCTTATCTCTACAACTGCCATCTTTCTTGATTCTGTTTGTAAGCATGCTTGATATCAATGCTGCTGGTCAAATTCCCTGTATCTGACACTACAGGAGAACTCTTGAGAACTGCAGTCTTTGAAAGAAAATTGTTCTTCTGGTAAACAAATCCAAGTTTCTCAATTTTGGAAAGTTCAGGGGTCATTTAGATCTCTAGAGTTAGAAGCAGCTAAAGAAGAGCCTCTGTCATAACAAATACTGACAATTTAACTCTTTAAATTATGTATTTAATTATGAAACATACCTGAGAGTGGTGTCTTTCCTATCTGAAATGCAACTGGTGAGAAAGTGGGTGAAGAAATAGGTGAAGGACTGGTTATACTCCCCAAACTGTATTTTTTTGCACTTCCTTGAATAGGGCTAGACGAAAACTGCCCCTATGACAAAATTAAATAAATAAAATCATATGGTTCTCTTCCTCAACTCTGTTATACCACATGCTATTTATCTTTATTTTCAAAACACATTTATAAACTAGGTTGTATAACTTCAATCATTCGCCGAAAAACAAGATGCTGCCTTTGCTTTGTGGGACAAAGCAAGACACCAAAAGGCAAGACATCTTGTAACAAGGGTAGTTAAGAAGACTTCCAAAAATTCTGACATAGAATATATTAGACAAGATAAAATATAAATGCACTGTGTTGGCACAAACCATTATTTTTCATGCTAAGTAGCTGTTTATGAAAAATTATAAATTAAGTTACTCCATCAATACAAA